TCCATCCGCGCAGAAGTGCGGCAAGGGCATGGTTTTCCCGTTAGACATTTGATAACACGAATAGCGGTATTGCGAGTGCATTTCGATCGAATGAAAGTTTATTGTGCACACTGTGAGTAGAAAAATTGCGCCATACTTTAGAGAGCAAAGTTCTTTTTCGTGTAAAACTACTGGCCAATTATTGGAGACCCTACACCTAGATGTACCCCAACACGGTCGTCATGAATAAAATTAATCCGGACTGCGGGGTTTCAATTTATTGTAGTAAGTGTGGCGGCTTGCTCAATTTCGAACACATGCTCTGGCGCTGCTCGGAAATGTCCGGTGTGGTTTCTCACGGTGAACAGTGGGGGCAGTGAATGCTGCACAGTGACACGCTGGCGGACCGGCTCCCGGCTGTCCAGATGGCCCGTGTGGCGGCCGAAAGGCTTGGCCTCTCTGTCCCGACGTGGGAAGCCAGCATAAGTCCTGGACTGATACTCAGGACTTCAATGAGGTTCCCCATACCATACCATACACCTAGATTATAAAATATATATCACAAGCGTGCATACATAGATGAGGTGTGGGTGAGGGTGGCACCCTCCCTCTACTATCTCGACTTTACACTGCGCTTTGATCGTAAGCACGCGAATGAAGCGTCCCCCACCCCCTTCTCAACTGAGAACAATGTGCACTACACCCTGCACATGTGCACTACACTACATGTTCTCCCTAATACTGATTTCAGGTTTGATTCCACGTTATCTTTCCTACGTAGTGCTGCATGCAACTAGCTAAGCCACGTCGTCCGCGTTACGGATTTAAGGTAGCTAGCACGCATCTTCAAACGTCTTTCTTAAATATAAACCGGGATTTTATAAGCCCCCTCCACTATTCCAGTTCGGGACATCCGCAAGCTTATCTGGGCGGCTGCGCGTGAGAGGCAAACGCTTGTCTGGGTACAGCGCCAGGGCGAAGAGCCTTGAACTGGTTCAGCCGACTCTCTACACGCGTCCTGGGAAGAAGACGAGATAGAAACCCTCGCCAGAAAAACACGAATAAAGACAACGAGAGACGTCGTCGCGGGGCGAACTGTTGAAAGGAGGGGCTTGCGCAAAGTTTGAGTACATACACATGAGGCTGACTACACTTCTATGCTTGAGATCTTAATATAAGCACGAGATACGCTGGGACATACATTGTCTGAATAAATTCCGCACATATGCACTGCCCGAGAAGCCTAAGCAGCCATACGCGACGCTTGCAGCACGCTGCTCGAACTCCGAGGAGCACGCACGTAAATGACACTTAGACATACCGAGGACAAATAAATCTAGATAGGAGCCACAAATTTAACAGAGTTGTACGGTAGGTTCTTTTCTTGAAGCGTGCATAGGGCATGTCACTCTTGTTTTTCCTTCTCTCACAGTACTCATACTTAGCTTTCTTCCCCCAAACGACCAGTTATTAGTTTAGTTTACGCTCGTCCTGTGTATACCCGTGTGTCCTTTTCATGCTTGCTTCTAGGTGCTTGAGCAGCTTGCTTCAACTGTCCACTATGTGCAGTCCACCAGACTCTGCGAGTTGACGTCATCCGTTTTGAGAGAAAAGGACTAGGCAGAGCTACGACCGTTTCCGGGGGTGTGAGGGCCAGTAAATATTTATTGTAGAAACAGTGGAACATGATAACAATAATCCGTGTTTTGTTTGAAGGAAACTGTAAAAACAAAAGTCACATCAATCTTGTTGCTATACATTTACGCAGAGAAAGCTGGGGTGTTGAAGCTAACAATAATAATATCTGGGCCTTACGCCCCAAAACTACGATATGATTATGAGGGACGCCGTAGAGGAGGGCTTCGGAAATGTCGACCATTTAGTGTTCTTTTATCAATGAACCAAAGGACCAAGCAGGATGTCTTACTGGCTATTCCACAATAGGCCATATTCATATTATAAATCAGGTAATAGAGAAATGCGCTGAATACAAACAGCCTCTATGCATAGCTTTCATAGATTACGAAAGGGTGGACTTGCTCGCTGGATTTCGTGCCGACTGGTTGTGCCCTCCGCGATCTCCGACGACAGCGCAGCTCTGGCCGACTGGCTCGCCCTACGCCATCTCCTGACGCCGACAAGAGCTCTCGCCGAGTGGTGCCCCATTCTCGGACTCCTGCGACCATGTCCATCTTTGCTATCTTCTCCTTATTTCCGCATGTGGCTGTCCCTGCACCTCGCTCTCTCCTTCCGCTCTATCTCCATACATTTTAATCCTATCCTTTTAATCCCTCTTTACCCTCATCCCTCTTGAGCTACTGTTGAGGTGTCCTCTCCCTTAGAGACAGTTACAGAGCTCACTTTTCTTCTCTTTTATTACGAAAGGCGTTTGACTCAGTCGAAAAATCAGCAGTAATGCAGTCACAATAAATCAGGGCATCGAAGAACTCTACATAAGCATACTGGAAGACATCTACAGAGGATCCACAGCCACTATAGTCCTCCATAAAGAAAGCGACAGAATCCTAATAAAGAAGGGTGTAAGGAAGGGGACGTGATCTCTTCAATGCTATTCACCGCGTGTTTACAGGAGGTATTCAGAACCCTAGATTGGGAATAGTTAGGGATAAAAGTATATGGAGAATGCCTTAGTAACCTGTGATTCGTTGATGACATTGCCTCGATGAGTAACCTAGGAAACGAATTACAGCTCATTATTACTGAACTGGACACAGAATGCAGAAACGTAGGTCTGAAAATTAATATGCACAAAACTACAGTATTGTGTGACAGTCTCGGCAGAAAACAGCACTATAGGTGGAGAGACGCTGGAAGTTGTAAAGGAATATGTGTACTTAGGACAGGTAGTAATCACGGAGCCGGACCATGAGAGTGGTATAACTTGAAGAATAAGGATAGGGTGGATAACATTCGGCAAGCATTCTCAAATTTTGAATGGTAATCTGCCACTAACCCTCAAGAGGAAGGTATATAACAGCCGCATCTTGCCAGTACTTACGTACGGAGCAGAAACCTGGAGGCTTACAAAGAAGGGTTCAGCTTAAACTGAGGACGGCGCAGCGAGCGATGGAAAGGAAAATGATGGGCGTAACCTTAATAAACAAGAAGAGAGCAGATTGGGTCAATGAACAAACCGGGGTCAAGGATATCATAATTGAAGTCAAGAAAACGAAATAGACATGGGCCGAACACGTAGCACGTAGGCAGGATAACCATTGGTCATTAAGGGTAACTGAGTGGATTCCCAGAAAAGGCAAACGCACAAGGTCGAGACAGAAAGTTAGGTGGGTCGATGAGATTAGAAAGTTTGCGGGTATAACGTGGCAACGGAAAGCACAAGAGATGGTTGATTGGCGGATCATGGGAGGGGCCTTTGCCCTGCAGTGGGTGTAGTCAGGCTGCTGCTGCTGATGATGATACTGCACAGCACACGGGCTTCTAGCGACTCACCTCTACCGAAATGTGACTGCCGTGGGGATTGAACCCGCGACCATCGGGTCACCAGCCTTGCACCGTAACCGCTGATCCGTTGTGGCGGACTGACTGTGGAAGCTGAGCGACTGGCTTGCTCATTGTATTCGCTTCGCCTCCCTCGTTTTGTCACCTGCTGAGTGACGCCAAGGCACCGCTGTATATCTGGAGAATGGTAGCCCTGTGTTCAGCATTCATTAAGTCCACGGTCTTAGCCGTATGCGAGGAGGGAATTCGTCGGGCTGCTAGACTGGTTGATACGAAAACAGCTAATAGTCTGCGGCGCATTAGAGCAACCGGTCAATCCTGCCACAATTAAGCGAGACCTGCCCTCCCAGTGGTCTACTAGATGAACGGAGCTGACAACGATAACCGCGCAGCCACTTTCATTCAAAGCGGCCAAAGTTAACCTTGGCACGGGCTTTTCTCCAACGACATACTCAAGAAAACAAGCGGTGTACCAGGTGATTCTGATATACTGTACCTAATTCTTCATGGCTAAGATTTGCGCTACACTATTTTAAATTCTTGGAGCAGCGTAAGGGGTAGGAATATATTTGCTTTACTTTGTTTTAGCACATGTGTTGCTTTACGAAAATCACGCTGCGTCGAAATTGAAGCAAGCCCCGCATTGATGACTTAGTGTGCACTGTATAAGGTACTACCTAAAATTATTACGTAGCATTAGTCATTCACAGAGAGTGAGGAGGCGTCCATGACTTATTCTTACAGGTATTTTCCCTGTGAACATGACATCTGTATTTATTTCTGATAAACTTCGTTGCTGAAACTGATGCACGTGCGCTAATAACAGATCACCCCCCCCCCCCCTCAAAGAAAAACATATAATGCCTCGGAGGTCAATGCTGATGCAGAAACAAACACACGCCCTAGTGAGTGTTGTCTAGCTTTTTAGTACTGCCTTCACTTAGTACTGTAAAAGCACCAACGCGTCAAAACATCAGCTATGATTAAAACTGCGTTAAAGGGGTGCAGAGTGGTCAAGTACACGGATCAGACACCCAGCGAAAAACCCATAAGACACTTGTGCATAAATTAGCATACAGTTCGAATGAATTCGGGGTCTCAAGAATTTGGGTGCAGCGTTTTAAACGAGGGTCAATGCAATCGCGGCGCCTCAGTCGGATCCAGGCAAATTACGATTTTGCGAAACTTGACGGCTCCCATTGTAGCTGGACGTGTTCACGTTATCCCCGTCTCAAAAGGCCTCTTTTACCACGCTCCACGCACTGATCAGATCAATTTTCAATGTAGCGCAGCGCAACCTTAATTTAGTCACTGCAGCCATCTTTCAGCCGTCTGACGCGAAGCACACAGGATTGACTTCAGGTCTTGTTACTGCAACTATTGCCAGAGGGTGTGCGTGTGAGAACGGTCATGCGGCTGTGCTTGCCTCGACGAGCAACGACAGCGGCGTGCCTGCAACCGGATGCCTTCGGCGTCGGAGGGGGTTGCGGGGAGGCGGAGCCTTCGGCGGGGCAAACATGGCGAGCGCCTCGTTGCCGCCAGTTCGGAACGCGCCTCGTGCCCAACCGCTGCTGCTGGCCACCGTGCCGCACCGCTCTCCGCCGCCGCTGCTCGCGCTGCCGAGCGCGCGCCGCCCTGGTGAAAGTGTGGCTACTTTCGGCGAGAAAGGATAACGCACGGGAAATGAACGTCGACGGTTGCTGGCGCTCTTGCTCCTGCACATGAGTGAGTAGAACGTAGTTACATCCCTCCTTCGCTTTTGCCGGTCTCTGTGCGACTGCTTGTCGAGTGTGCTGATCGTTATCTATGCCGCCGAAGTGCGCATGCTAAGGCGTCTCGGTTGTCGGAGCCAGTTTGCTCGATCTGACAGAAGTTTCCAGAGTATCAGCGGGCAGGAGGAAAAGCGAGGCGCAACCCGCTGCCGAATTGTCACTGCGTCGCTACTCGCACATTCCCGAGTCCCGTTCTCGGTTTTACAGCTGCGTGAGCATTGCTCTAGGCGTGTCAGAATTTGGTGAGAGTTGTTTTCCATGTGGACACCCACTGTGGTTGTATAGCTATGTTGCTCTACCGCTATCCCGAAGGTCGAAAGTTCGAGTCACTGCGCGGGAGTCTCGTTTTCGTTGGAGACAAGACTGCTTGAGACCTGTGAACTTGAATGGGTGCACGTTAAAAGAAAAAAACGATAAAACCAAACGAGGTGGTCGGAATTTTCGGAACCCTACACTATTGCGTCTCTCACAATGATACCGTGGTTATATTACGTAAAACCACGATAATCATTATTATTCCATCTAGACAGAAATGACAGCCGTAGGTATGAAACGGGATGCTGCCGGCTGGCAGACACTGGCGCGAAGGGTGCAACTGTATCGTTGCAATATTTTCGTATGAGCCCCCTTTTCCCCCCCACACCTCTTTTTTGTGTGTGAACATCCGTTGACTTCCTTCCAACTCAAGTGTTGCACGATGTGACAGTAACACTGTGTCAAGAAGGAACGGCTGTCAGCCGGTGTCGCCGGTTCCGTAGACGTTGGGGGACCATGTGTACGATTAGTCAGAAACCTGTCGGGCTTCTCCGCGTTATGGAATTGTTGCGCACTTTGAAGTGACGGCAGCGACGGATGTGCTCTGAACCCGCACGATTGGGGGGGGGGGGGGGAGGCACCCGTCATTTGACGCTGCTACATCGCACATGGAACAGTCAGCCTGTCCCCTTTTTCGTGCAGACCTCCGACTCGGGTTTCTGGGTTCGAGTACCGCTCCGTAACTCCAGTTAAGTCTGGTTGGATTAGGTCGCTTTGAGTCCGGGCTGTTGTGTCACAAAAACACGTGTGGTGTTTACGGCACTGTTTTGCGTCATGGTGAAACCGACAGATAAATCAGGATTACCTTGCCACTATTATCCTTCGTGACGGGGATAGGTAGAGGCTCTGCTCTGATAGAGAATCCCGAATAAGAGTTTTCAGTTTCGAAAACAGCACAGGTGTGCTTGTACAAGCGGATTTGTTGTTAAAGGGAACAGTTGCGTGCGTGTAATTTCGATATTTGTCTCGCTTGCAAAAACCTAAAGGCTTTCATTTGCATAAGATTGTTGGTGGTTGACAATCAGGGTGGCTTTTGACAGAGTAGTGCCGTGCACGAGTAATGTTTCCACATGCACTTGCACTTGGGGGGGGGGGGGGGGGGGAGCGATATGAAATGTGCTCATTCGAGTGTTCTCGTTAACAGTGAACCACGTTGTATTCGATGTGCTCGAATCGAAAGGTTCAGATTGACGATGCGAAACGGAACGTCTTGGCAACAAAGTTTGGCATCGGCGAGTATCTGGTACTCGACAAGCAATATTTCAAAAAAGCCAACCTGCCAATATTACTTTTCTATTATCACTATAGGTTTCACGATGTTCTCATTTGAACCCGATCACTGCTCCGGTTTAAAACGGGACATTTCACCACGTTTCCATCCGCCTTAAGGAGATTCAGTGATCGTGATGCTGAAGGTATTTTAAACCCTGCCGTACCTAATACCTTGCTAAGCGACATACTGACCCCAAGACCGGTTGACCACCACGTAAATGTAAAGCACGTGACTGGGTCGAGCTGCCACGGAGACGTAGTAATACAAATAAAAAGTGTAGGGTGGGTGAGAATGTCAGCTGTTTTCCAGCGACGCAATGAAGTGGCTACGAGAGAGGAAAATTTCGAGAACCTGGAAAGAATTATAATGCACAAGTTCGGGTGGTCTTTTCCGCCCAACTTATCTGGGATAGGATCGACGCATAAAAGAAAACCTCGTACGGTTTCGCGTGGCGCGAGTCAAGCACTTGATTTCGCAATTTCGCGCTTGCACTCGGAGATCGGATGTTCTCTCGCAATGCAGCGTATGCGAATTGAAGGGCGTCTCGTGATAGCACAGCCTGTTTTGTTCACAACAGTAGTTGAAATGCAGCGCCGGGAGCGCTAGTGTGCATTAACGTACTGAAACTTGGGCGAGCTTGTAAAAAAATAATTTTTGATGAAGTAGCGCAAAACTCGCAGGGTCCCATATGCTAAGACAACTAGAAGGTGAAAGGCTGAAAGCCATCACCTTTTCCTTCCCAGTCGATGTGTTAATTCCTCCCTGTCTTTCTCCGAGAGCTTCCTGTACTTAACGAGGTTCTGCACTGCCTCCAAGATCGGAGGCAATTTGGTTCTGCACGGCCTCCGTGATCAGCCCTCCACTGACCAAACGTTGATATCATGTGATGATGGCGTCATGTGACGTTATCGTTCGTGGGACGTCACGTCATCAGGTCGTCACATTATTAAGCGATCTGTGACTTCACGTTGATGTTATACGGCGACGTCATCACGTGGTGACTGCATTTCTCGTGTTGACGCCGCTGGTCAACTTCTCGCGTTCGATGAGGCATCTATCGTTTTTTCCTTAAAAGACTAGGACAGAAGAAGGAACAGGAAAACCAGATGAGCCCTCGTCCGGTCCTCCTGTTCCTTCTTGTGCTGCTTTTTCTTTCACGCTACTTCCTCAATTAAACGTGTACTGTTAATCAGCACAATACTGGCAAATAATTGAAGTTGAACTGTCCCTTCTTAAGCAGGGGAATTTAGGCGCGAGAGCCTATGCGCAACGCGGAGATCGTTCCATTTCGCGATGAATGGAGGAAACGCGTACCTGAAGCTCAAGAATGCGCCTGTGCTAGGAAACGCCGGGCGATTGGATTACACCGCGCACTGCGGCGGGCTCGCGCTCGTGCAATTCTTTCTACCCGCACACGGCAGAATCGATCGCGCGAAGGCTCCGTAAAAACGGCGAGCGCTAAAAGACTTCCTAGCGCATAGCTCGAATCGGCCTATTCGCCCGCCTTAGTTTCCCTACGTCGTCCAAACACAAATCGCCGATGACATCGCCGTGAGTCACTCGACGCGTGGGAGTTCGACGTCCCTTTGCCTCCTCCTCGCCATCGTCTCCGTGAGTCAAAACTTGACGTTCGAGTCACCAATGCTTGTTTCCTTAACCCTTACCTGTCCAATCATTGTCTTTGACGCATTGAAAGCATTTTCAGTGCAGCCCAGTAGTGAATTCAAGAAACGCTTAAGTAAGAACACGATTTCATTTATATAGCAGCGTTTGCTTAATCGTATATGGACGGCAACAAAGTACGCGGTAAGGCGCTTATTGAAAGTTAAACTTAAAAATTTCAGTGCAACTGTGTTTTGGCGAACAAAATTTATTTTGTTTTTCTTCGTCCTAATGTATAAAACATTGTTGGTGTGTTTGGAAAAAGTGTTTAACAATATAGAGTACTTGGTACTTCACTGTGGGCGAGCATGAAGCCGTCCCGTTCACGAACATGCAACATACACGGAAATTATTGGATGCTATGGAAATTTTCGACGAATTCTGGTGGCCAAAAGTCAGCGTTATATTATTGCATGATGTTTGCATGTGCGTTGCACGGAAGTTATGCGCAAGGTAGCGGCTTATTTGCATGCAATTCCTTGTTCACTAATTTTCATGAAACAGTGTCAACGACTCCAAGTAGGTATAGAGTGCAGTTATGATAATAATCTTCAATCTTCGATTTGCGCGAGGATATGATGATGATGCGTAGTGATCGTCACGCGAACTGATATTTATGTACCGGCTAACAATAGATAACACAATTGCCAAAGAACAACGTCAGAACCACAGGTGGCGTGGCGTCTTACAATTCAGCACATGCGAAAGCGGTCGAAACTGGAATGGAGGGCAGAAACAGAGTGCAAAAGAGCGCTCTTCACACTCTGTCGTCCTTGCTAGCATTGCGCGTTGTTACATGGGTCGAAGTTAACCATCTAGCTCAGCAAGCAGCCATCCTTTACAGTAAAGTTCTCATCGTGTGGTCACTAACTGTCACATTGACTCCTTGCCGCATGATTTACTATTCACTTCTGCTACGGCATGGGAGATGTGGAGGTGAGGGGATTTTTCGTCGCTATGGGTTTGCATCTGAATGTGCGGGCGTGTATTATGAGGCCCGTAGGCTTGCAAAATGGGCGTGCCGTAACTGTAATTGTTGGCGGTGTTTAGCATATTTTTGCTGCGTAATGTGCGCTCAGCCTCACGCGCTCAGGGCCTTCGAAGCGCCTGTACACCTATTCAACATTTCATTTCTTGTTTGCTTGCTCTTTTGCGTTCTGCCACCTTCATATTCCTTTCAATTCAAAACAGGTGGGCACTGTCTCTTTGGTCTTGGTTCCCACAGCCGGCAAACCATACCGTTTCGTCACCGCCATCGAACCATGACACAGCGCTTTCTCAAAGTTTTCATTTCAAAAAGCAGGCGTCGATGAGATTAACGGCACCGGTAAACGTCAACGCGGTGTGCCGTTTTAACGAAGAAACAGCCGAAGAAACGATCCGTCATGGCGGACGCCGTCGTTCTGACGTATCGTCTGACAACTTTGTGAATCAGTCCTTGAAAGACACGCTGGCGGCCGTCGGCCGTTATCAATGTCGCCGCCGCACCATTATTGAAAAAGAAAGCGGAGAGAAAATGCTGTGTCATGATTGGCGCCGGAGCCTATAGCGGCAGACAGGGAAGAGCGTGGAACGGCTGTCTGAAGCATGCCTTACAAGTAGGCCGCTGCCGATCCATCGACTCGATTTGCACGGCTGTTATAACAGCAAATTCTAAATTTCTACAATAAAAATATTCCAGAAAAAAGAAAGCGAGATCCTTA